AATTTGACTACTTTGATCACTTACACAATGTCGCATCATTCTACATTAGACTGCCGAGAAGTTATTAGGGTGAGCTCAGTGAATTAGTCTAGGCACGCATGGTTTCGCCCATTCGCCTTACTCTCACCCTCTTATATTAAGCTCGGTTCAGAGCAATATGAAGTCATGCACTATATCCGAAAACAATGTTTTATAACACGAGATAGCTAGGGTGAGCTCAGTGAATTAACCTAGGCACGCATGGTTTAGCCCATTCGCCTTGGTCTCACCCTGTTTCAAATCTGTTCGCTTAAGTACAGGAAAATGTGAAAACCACCTCTGGTGCTGTTAATCCAACTCAACTTCTGCTCACTATCCAAATGAGCCTTTTGAACAGGTAATATAGTGGTCAAGTTTGGATGCTATAATTCCATTTCTTTTCATGTTAGTTTGGTAGTATCAAGACTAAGAACTTTTTTTTTCTTTGAATGATACTTTATCTGAGTTCTTTTTTATTCGCCACTAGCTGGCTTACCCGGCTCCGCCCGGCCCTGTCAAAACACTATGTCAAAGAACACTATCCTATTCCTGTAAGAACCTTCCCCTGTGCCCACGCCTACATGCAAAATCACTATCCCCGCTGTTTTAGTAATCAGCATGCTCGATTACCCCCCTGTGCCAAATCCCAGCCCCGTAGCTCAAACTTTGCAAAAAATCGATAAAATCGATAAAAGTAATGCACGATTTCAAAAACTAATATTGTATTCGTAATCAGCATACTCGAATGCCCCCCTGTGCCAAATCCCAGCCCCGTAGCTCAAACTTTGCAAAAAAATCGATAAAATCGATAAAATAATGCACGATTTTGAAAACCAATATTGTATTCATAATCAGCATGCTCGATTACCCCCCCCCCTGTGCCAAATCCCAGCCCCGTAGCTCAAACTTTGCAAAAATATCGATAAAATCGATAAAATCGATATCGATCGATGACGAAAAGTATCCTATGACACCCGCCGGGGCCCGAAGTGTATGTGTGCCAAGTTTGGTCCGGATCGGTACAGAAATGGACTTTCTATTCGGAACATACGTACACACAGACATACATACATACATACAGACAGACAGACAGACAAACAGACATTCAGCTTTATATATAAGATGACTATTGTCCAGACTTTTGACTAGTCGGCGCACTTTTGGTGCAATAAATAAATAAATATTAGGTTGGCACATAAGTTTTGCAACTTTTCCCGTAACTTTTTTCCTATTTTATGTAGGAATCTCATTTTATGGCATCATATAGACCGTGATGTAAGCTGCAAGTCTGCGCAAACCGTTTCATTTTTGATAACGTAGTACAAAAAATCTAAGCATTTTTTGAAAACTGATGAAAATCGATGTTTCACGATTTTTTGGCAAACATGAAGCTCTACGAAACCTGATTCAAACATATGAAAAAGCAATCATAGGCAGCATGTAGCTGGAAGTTGGCGCATTGGAATCAGTGAAAAAGAAATGAAATTTGAACACAAATTAAGGTGGGGCGCCTTTGAGAAGTTGAACAAGTCAAATGCGTCAAGTTTTGAAGGCAATTTGTCAATAATTAAGCTGCGAAAAGTCAGAATTCGCTATAACATTGCACTATAGGGTAATCCTATGCGGTGAACACGAATATCATATTCATTTGTTGCTAAAATGAAATCCATCTTTTGATTTCACGAACGAGGCCTTTTCGTGCGAAACGGATCTCATTTTTGTGATCGGCATGTCAAATAAGCCTTATAGGCCAAGTTTCAGCAAAATCTGATGCATTCTAAAAATTTTTCCATAGTGCCGTAAACCTACCGTAATCCTTACATAAGATGGTAAAATTCGGCAAGAATATGTGCATTAGAAGCTTACATCATGTTCCTTATATTGCCAAAAAATAAATGCGCTACGTTCAAATAGACAAAACTTATATAAAAAGTTGCATTACTTATGTGCCAACCTAATAAATAAATAAATTTTCTACCAAAACATCGTTGGATAATCACGCCGGTCACATTATAATCACTATTTTTTATTGTGCTCAAAAAGTTTATATAAGTTTAGTTTTTGGGTTTGAAAGGTTCATACCCTGTTTGGTTTTGCATTATTTACCTGTTACTTGGCCCCTTTTAAAGTCTGAAACGATAATTGTTTCAAAAAAATAAAAAGAGAACTTGACAGTGCCAATATAACTTTAAGCTTGCAGACCTCAGTGATTTTCCAGGAGCTTGTGGCTGGCGCGCGGCGCTTTTGCCGCTTTCAATGCTTTTCGGCGCATTTGGACACTTCGCAGTTCTTTTCGGCAAATTGGGCCGTTCTTTAGAAAAAGAATTGATTTTATTCAGCACATCCTCCCCTGCTTCCAACTAAAATGATGATATTAGAATGAACCCTACTGCAACACAATTTACCTTGAGCTGTACCTCAAAGTATCGTCGTCTCCCTTCGATAGATGGGGCGTGTCGTCTGCAAAGTCCGTAGATGTGCGTGTTTCGTACGGTGTTAGCCGGCGTGGCTTTGCCAACGTTTGCCAACGTATGCGCGTGGCAGTTTTTGGCAGTTAGAGAGCCGAAAACTAATGTTATATGATGGAGATTTAACAAGTATTTAGACGTGGCATGTATATGCATGCCACGCCATGGCTAATACCGTGCGAAATACGCACGTCTACGGACTTTGCAGACGATACGCCCCATCTATCGCGGGGAGACGACGATACAATTTACCTTGAGGTATAATTTTCGTATCCATCAAAGTCTCCCTCTCAAAGTTAGATTTACCTGTGCCAAGATGATTAGGACTGACGTATATTAGGAGCATGGTATGACACACTTGCAGTAAATTGCTTTCTTTTGTATTTCCGTGATATTTTCACGAGGAACGTGCTGGAATATCGGTTTCAGAGTTTTACAGTCACTGATTTTGAGACTGTACAGTCTGTATAAGCAACTATTTCGAGCCCAAAGGGGGTTTTGTTTAACAACAAGAAGTTGATTGCTTCTAGTTAAATCGTCTTACACAGTTATCAAGAGAGTAGTCTTAACAAAAGCTTCCAAGCTGTCAAAGTAGTTTTTTCATAGTCACTTCAGGTTTGAGTTGAAACCTCCCTTATTTGATGAGGTTTTTACCGATAATGTTTTTTTCAAGTACTTTGCGAATTTTTATGGTGCGCGAAATTCCGCCAAATGTTTTTTGTTTCGTTCTGAGTTTTTCTAGTTTCACACAGACCCGATTATTCCAAAAATAGTGAAGTTTTGACTTCCAAAGCTTCTAAATCATCATCATTGAATATATGTACAGACGGTTCCCCAATGAGTCACTTTCGGGGTTTAGAAAATATTTTTTTGCTCAAAGCTATAAATGTTCAAACCCACATGTGTGCGTTGTGAGTAAATGAAGAGTTGAGATAAAATTTTCCTGCTCAACCAGAAACGTTTGTTTATTTTTTTGCATTCAACAGCTAGCTCTTTCTTTCTGCTAAAGTGCGGAACAGTGTGTATTAGAGATACAAACATTTTGGTGAAATCATATTTTGAAACCCGATGTGATCAGTCAGGAAATGGGATCGAGGGTTACGTTGCAGTACATGTCACCATTTGGTAATATCTAATAATTTTGAAGATGTTTTTAAAGTAGTTTCATTAAGCAACTTCGACTTTATGACTAAACACAGCTAATGTGCTCAAGATGCTGTGAAAGAGAATAATCCTGCGTATGACCACATCCATCCACGCGTTTGTTAAAATGTATAAAGTTTCTAAGAATATAGACTGAAATTTTGTCATAAGTTCACTCAACCCCCATAACTCTCAATGATATCAACAAAATTTCGCAAAATTGCCACAGTGACTTAATTTACGTCATTGCATTACTCATGCAAAAAACCAGCTTCCGAAAGTCTATAGATCTCTAAAGGTATTCTTCTAACCTTGCCTCCAGCTAGGGTTAGAAGTTGCATTGAGAATTTACCTCGAGGTAAATGCAGTCCGTTTGATAAATACGGATTTTAAGTGATGATAGTACCTTGAGGTGAAATTACCTCAAGGTACTTTTCATTCAATACTACACACCTTGAGGTAAATTCTCAAGGTAAAATTTACCTTGAGAATTCACCTCAAGGTACTTTTGTGAATACGGGTATCTGCTGATAATGACTGATAAAACTACCTAGAGGTAGAATTTACCTCAAGGTATCAATGATGAATACGGCCACTGATGTTGTCTTCATTACTGAAACTTGGTTAACCTCAAAAATTCTTGACTCCGAGGTTGTTTCTGGCTTGCCCTATACTCTCTACTTCTTTGAGGTTTATGAAAATCTTTCCTCTTTTTGTATCCCTCTACCTAATTTTCATGATGTAGATTACGCTCTTCTTGACAACTACTTTTTTAACATCGATTGGCTTTCGTTGTTTAATAATTTCTCTTCTTGTTGTGATGTATATTATAGATTTTGCAGAACAGTCTACGACGCATTCTCCAAATTCGTTCCCATGAAATTCCCAACTACGAAAGAGAATTATCTTCCGCTTATATTCGCGCCTTAATTTTTCAGAAGCAGCGCTTCTTTGACATATTGCCTAATCCTCTTTCTGATTCCGTCTACAAAAAAGTTTGTGCTGATATAGACCATCATGTACAAAAATATTTCGCCTATCGTGAAAGAAAGCTTGCTGCTAAAAGTTCACCGAAATCTCTCTTTTGGTACTTGAAAAGTAAAATGAAATCAAATCTACATCTTCCAACTCTCAGAGATTCTTTCGGCAAGTCTTACGTTGGCGATGGTGATAAAGCTCATGCTCTTGGAGAATACTTCGCTAGTGTATTCTCTGATGAAAGTGAAAATGTGCACTCTAATGCTTATAACGATGTTAGTGCTGTTACGCTTCGCAAACGCTGTGATGATGTCTATTTTGATCCGTCTATTGTATATCGTTATCTAAAAAAACTCAAGCTCTCTGTCACTGAAACATTCGATGGAATACCTCAGATCGTCCATCTCAAATGCGCTTCATCGCTGGCTGCTCCACTCGCTCATATTTTCAACATTTCGATGCTGGTGGGTGAAGTACCTATATGGAAAGAGGCCATTGTCACAGCCATACCGAAAAGTAATAGCGCCACTTTTATCAACGAATTTCGCCCAATTAGTCTACCGCCTACTCCCATCAAAATCATGGAAAAGATTATACGTGATAAGTTATCGAATTGGCTGACTCAATTAGGTTTGATTCCTGGTGAACAGCATGGCTTTCTTTGTTAGCAGAGCTTCCACCACCACCAATCTTGTTGACAGTGTCTTCGACTGGAGTGTGGCAATTTATAACGGGGAGTCTGTTGATGTTCTCTATGTCGATCTTTTCAAAGCTTTTGATAAAGTCTGTCACAGCAAATTACTCGCGAAAATGCATAACCTCGGAGTCGACGGAAATCTCTTTTCTTGGCTGATGTCTTACCTACGAGATCGCCATATGACCGTCAAAGTAAATCATCAGTTTTCTGAAAAACACCGCTGCACAGTGGTGTACCGAAAGGAGGTGTTTTATCTCCTTTGCTTTTTCTTTTCTACACCCTTGATTTGCCGAATACTTTGAAAACTTTCCCACAGATCAGCGTTCAAATGTACGCTGATGATATCAAAATTTACGGAAGGTACAATACTGATAATGCACTGAAAGTACAGACCAATCTACAGAAATCCCTAGATAATCTGAGCACCTGGGCTGAAACTTGGAATCTAACATTTACTTTGAATAAATGCTCTGTTCTCCATTTTGGGAAAGAGAATACACCTACTTATCACTTTAATGGTAGCATGCTGAAAAATTGTGAAATCGCGAAAATTTAGGAGTTCTGATTGACTCCAAACTCACCTTCATGAAACATATTGACATGGTGGTCAGAAAGGCATACGCGTCATTGTTTTTGTCATGAATCCCCCGATTCATGATTTGTCGTAAAGAAGTCGCTGAGCGTTCTCATAGCGAACGAGATATGTTTATCATTATGTTTTGAGAATGGCAATAGTTTTTAAAGGGGGAGCCGAGAAACGGGCGGCAAGTTAGATGGATAAGCTAGCCTCGTACCTGCCAGGCGAGGAGCCAGGTAAGTTGTGGAGTCTCCACTGAACAAGATAAAGCAAGTTCTAAGAGCAACTCAATTATCACGATTAGTCTGATGATATTTAGTGGTAATAAGTTTGGTAGGTAATAAGTTTGATGGTAATAATTTGTGCCTTATGTCTAAATAAATATTTTTACTTGCACGTCGTGTTGTCAACCAGGAAATCGTACTGGAGCAGTACGAACAGTTTTTGCTTTTTCGTGGTACTAACACTCTTCTTCTAAAATTTTGCTATTACTCTATAAAGCCTTTGTGCTTCCACATTTGGAATATTGCTCCTAGATATGTATGGTCTCCATTCGTAAAAAACTCTTCAAGAAACTTGAAAAGTGCCACAACTTTATACAAGACTTCTTTTCAAACGTATCTCGCCTGAGATAAATCCACCACCCAGTTACGAAGACCGCCTTCAGAAATTTTATTTGAAAAAACTCAGTTTCCGGCGTGTTTTATTTGACCTTGCTTTTTGCTTTCAAGTTTCAAGAAAAGAGAACAAGCTAAAAGCGAGTAAGTACTGGACATTTATCCCTACAAGTGACAGACGGGGACTTCCAATTTACATTATCCCAAGATTCGACGTAGAAATCATCAATAGATGTTCAATAATTTGTTTTACAGGACAGCAAGATGGTTTCAACGACTTCCCAAAGATACTATAGCTGCAATAAATAGTGAAATCTTTGAAGAAAAGTGTAAAAGACTTGACTTACTCAGTATTACAGATGTGAACTAGAACTCTCAAAAATACTTGATGTATGACAGATCAAAAAAAGAGAAACTTTCCCAACAAATTTATTTATTTATTTATTGATACACTGTTGTGCACAGTGCGCCAGTACTAAGACACGAACGCAACGACAGACAAAAACAGTAATGAAACGAAATTGTAACATGCTCAACACCCTAGAGAAATTGAGGAGAGTAATTCTCTAAACTAGGTGCTCGTCAGTGTTGTCTTCAAAGTCAGAAAGTCAGTGTCGTGGGGACTAAACTTGGTATAAGTACAAGTCCAAGTACGATGCGTGACGGTATATAAATATACGGTCACTTTCGAGCGAAGAAAGAGGGATAAGCACCTAGGCGAATGAGCGAAATCATGCGTACCCGGCGGGCAGGAGACCTCGTTCGGCTTACCCCAACAACGCTAACATCGGACTTGGATACAAGATGATCAAGGATAAGAGACAGACATATAAAATTACACGACAAAGACGATGTCAGATTTAGAAGACAAACACTAAGCTGCGTATATCGGAAGAGAGCCTCTCAGGTCAAGAGCATGTCAGCAAAACAGCAATGAAAAAAAATGATTGATGGAACGAGATGGTCATACTAATGTATGCTATGCTGTAACCCATACAACGAGAAAATGAAAACAAAACAACAAGGATAGTCAATTTAGGCAAAGGGAACGTGGACCGAAGTTCAGCAGAGTTGTATCGACTGAATTGTACAGGCAACCATGGAAGGCCTCTGAAATCAAAACAGACGAGACAACATAAGTGAGTTAAAAAGGCGATCAACTTCCCAAGTGAAATCCATAGGGCATTGGAAAATACAGTGAAGAAATAGCCAGCGTTAAACTGAGCAAGTCAACACTCTGAAAAAAAAAGGAGCCAGCCAAGAGTAGAATTTAAAATGTAAGAAAAAAAAGTGAAGGACATAAGGAGAAACTTCATCTCAAAAGTACTCGGATTCATCTATTCCCAGCAATCTCAAAAAGTCACAATTAAGAAGTTTTTTTCTGAAAGTAGTTGAATTAGGAGCAGAGAGAACTGCGTCAGGAAGCTTTTGTAACCATCGAGAAGTGCGTGCGAAAAATGAGTTGTAGAAGAGTGTATTTGGAACAGTAGAGTCAATGCAGTGGAAGCTAAACCTACCTGTTCGGCCGTTGCACGGTCTCCAAACCCAGAATTCACTAGGAACAATTTTTGTTTCAAGGCGAATTATTTGGAAGGCAAGCACTAAGTCAGCCAAAACCCTTCGATACAGCAAGCTATGCAACTTCAAGTGGTCCAGCCTACATCTATAGGAGGGAAGAGTATACGGGTAATCCTCGCTTGGAAAAAATCTGTAATACATTACACGAGTGAAAACCATTTGGACTTTCTCCAAGGTTAGAATGTCTTTTTTTAAGTGAGGGTTCCAGACTTGGCAAGCATACTCTAATGAAGGGAGAACATAGGCCATATACAGCTTGATGTATACTCTCAAGTCTACATGCTTCAAGTTCCGTAATAAAAGGAATACTCTGTGTAAGGCTGCACGCGAAATATTCTCAATATGAGATCTTAACAGGAGCTTATGGTCCATCAATATTCCAAGATCTCTTACAAGCACGGGCCTAGCCAGAGATATACTGGAGTGCGTGTACTCTTTAAGTGTGTTCTCTTGTTCATGCCTTTTGGTGATGGTCAAGCACACACTTTTACGCAAGTTAACATCAATGCAGTTCAAGTCTGCCCACGATAAGATTTTCTGAAGGCAAGCACTCAAGGCATCAGTCACTTCGACTTTGTCCTCATCAGAGTATGAAGCAAAAACTTTTATATCATCTGCATATGCCATGACTTTGATTCTCCAATCAATTGATAGAAGGCCGGGTAACTCACTTGTGTAGATATTAAAAAGGATAGGGGATAAGACACCACCCTGGGGTACTCCGCTGGTTGCCGAGAAGATAGAAGAGATGGCTGAGTTGACTCGTACCGAGAGTGTTCTCTCAGTCAGATAAGACGTGAGCCATTTTAGCATACCTCCACGAATTCCAACTGAATATAGTTTCTCAATTAATTTGTGGATGTCTACTCTGTCAAAAGCTTTGGACAAGTCAAAATAAAGAACATCAGTTAATCGATTTTGTGCCAAGGCTCTTTTCCAGTAAAAATCACAAGTAATCAGTTGGAGAGTAGTGGAAGATCCCTCCATAAACCCAAACTGTTCAGACGGTATGAGATGCTTTTGCACGCAAAATGACAGCAGTTTCCTTCTTACAATCTTCTCAGCAACTTTGCAGACCACAGAGTTAATGCTTATGGGCCGAAACTCCGAGGCCTTTTGTGGGTTCTGAACTTTAGGAATTGGTACCACCCTTCCGTGCTTCCATACTCTGGGTAATTCACCACTGCTCAAAGACATGTTGACAAGTATTGAAACAGGAACTGCTAACTGAGTGGCACATCTTTTGTAAACCATCTGGGGAATTCCATCAGCAGTAATGAAGGTCGATGGTTTCAATCTTTTCAGAATGTTCATAACATCAAAAGGCAGGACTTGAGGAACTTGTGAAAGGTATAAGGAACTTTGTATCTGATTGGTTAGATCATTAGGAAGGCTAGGTCTAGAGTTTGTCGGTTTCTGGAAAACCGATGCAAAATAATGAGCAAGACATTCGGCATTCTCTTGATCAGTCTTGCATAAATTTCCTTGGTGATCATGCAATCCTTGAGGGCCATGCTTTTCTTTGAAAATCAGGTGGGCATACTTGAAGAGAGAAGAAGTGTTCATGTTAGATAGTCTTTTCTGTCTATTCGCACTGAATTTGGCTAGGTGTCTGTTCAACTTTTTTACCACGTTTTTATATCTATCAGATGTCAACGGGTCATGGATTGTGCAAAACAAACGATCCCTTTGTTCTATCAAGTTCTTGATGTGAGTGGGGTAGTGGTCAGTCTCGTACCTTGCTCGTTTCAATGGGATGAAACGCGACAGTAAGTCGTGTAAAAGGTCAAGAAAGCGTTGATACATGTCATCAATAGAGCAAGAATTGTCAAGCAGGGACCACCAATCAATAGTGTCCAAGCAGGCAGAAATGGCCACATAATCACCGCTCGCATAGTCAGGGCAACAATCCATACAGGGGAAATCAATCGGCAACATAAGGTCAAAGTAAATGCTTGCATGGTCAGATAACCCAAGCGGTGGTCGTATAGTCACATTATGTACGAGAGGCGAAGTTGACAGTACCAAATCAAGGATATTATCATTCCTCGTGGGACACAGTACATGCTGAGTGAGAGAAAGATCATCGAACAACTTGATAAACCTGGCAGATGCAGAGCATAGTGGCGTTCTAGCCGACCAATCAATAAGCAAGTTAAAATCGCCAGCAAGAACAATATCACGATGAAGGCTACAAAGAATTTGCAACGAATCAATGAGTTTGGAATCATCACTATGAGAAGAAGATGGAGGGCGATAGACGAGGATAATCATACATTGAGAATGCGTCACATTATCTGATATTTGTAAGCATAGTGTTTCACTCAACCCCAAACTAGTTACTGGTATCTCTTCACAAATAATAGTTTCTCGGACAAATATACATAAGCCACCGCCACGCCTTTCTGGACGATCCTTTCGAAAAATTCTGTATGGAAGGTTTGAGCTCAATTCGGAAGATTCAATAGAAGATGATAACCAAGACTCAGTTATACAAACTAAATCGGGCTTATCATGTACCAAGAGAAGACGAAATAAATCAATTTTGTTTAATAAACTGCGGGCATTCAACAACACACATTTCATATTACGGGTACCATGCTCATAATTTAGTTTCCCTGCTTTGGTTGTTGCCCTGAGCTCCCTTGCAGATCGGCAACTTTGACCAGATCCCCCTTGTAGACAACGTATGCTTTGTACCCAAGCTCCTGATTTTTTACGCGTGCCTCCTTACGCAGCTCATATTCCTTTTTACGTTGTTCTGCTGTAAGGCTTGGCCTAATGTATATGTTAGAAAACCGGGGATTGTTGCGCAGCAATTTAGCCTTGCTAAGTACTGCGAGGGAATGCGCCTTAGATGGGAACATGATTTTAGTCAAGCGGGGTTTGCCCTCTGAACCCTTCCCCATCCTAAAGACAGAAGTAGGCCTGACCTCAACTCCAAGATCATCTAGGATATCGGTGACCTTGGATTCCAAATCAGCTTGCTTAGCCGAAGGTCGCGAGTTAGATGCTAATTCCGGTATCCCGGCGACCACAATGCTTCTCACACGAAAGAACTCTTCACAAATCATACGAGAGTTGACCAAGATTGATCGCAAAGCATGGAGCGAGTCCATGACCTGCGATGGGACACGGGGGGTACTCTCGAGAAAAGTCGATATCGTGTGTAAATGCATGGATATGTCACCAGAAAAACCGGGATCAGACAAACCAGCAATAAGAGGATCATCACTCAGAGTTTGGGAGACCTGAGAAATCTGAGAAAAAGAGGCTTTGGATTTGCTTTGAGAAGAACGAGTCGCAACCATGACAAAATCTACAAAAAGATCGAGAAAAAAATCGACAAAAATCGAGAGCGCCAAAGAAACACGACCGCTCAATGCGCGGGCAATGATAATCAATCAAATGACAAAGGAAGTCACTACTTTTCATTTTCCTTCAATTCTCTACTTTTTTTGCTTTCAGAAACTTACTGAATGCGCTTACTTCGGTCACTGACAGAAGCATGAATGATTGTAGCTGTGCACTGCTCTTTCGAACAAACTTCAATAACGATATTCATTTTCGCCTTGAGTATCAGTCTAGCTCTTCCACTTACGCTACTACAATCTATATCCAAATGTAATCATTGGCTAGTAGATCGTTTACATCTTACGAAATTATCCTTTCTATAGCTTGTGAAGATCGTTGCTTATAAAATAATTTTTTTTCGAATTCTGAGCTTTCGTTTCATACCATGTCTCCTGCCTCCTGCCCAATACGTTTATTTGCTCAATCTATAAGCTCCATCTTATATATAAAGCTGAATGTCTGTTTGTCTGTCTGTCTGTCTGTATGTATGTCTGTCTGTACGTATGTTCCGAATAGAAAATTCCATTTCTGAACCGATCGGGACCAAACTTGGCACACATACACTTCGGGCCCCGGCGGGTGTCATAGGCTACTTTTCGTCATCGATCGATATTGATTTTATCGATTTTTTGCAAAATTTGAGCTACAGGGCTGGGAGTTGGCACAGGGGGGTAATCGAGCATGCTGATCACCCCCGTGGGGGTGATCAGCACGCTCGATTACACCCCCTGCCAAATTCCAGTCCCCTAGCTCAAATTTTGCAAAAAATCGATAAAATCGACATCGATCGATAGCGAAAAGTGGACTGTGGCACCCGCCGGGGCCCGAAGTGTATGTGTGCCAAGTTTGGTCCCGATCGGTTCAGAAATGGAATTTTCTATTCGGAACATACGTACAGACAGACATACATACAGACAGACAGACAGACAAACAGACATTCAGCTTTATATATAAGATGGAGCTTATAGATTGAGCAAATAAACGTATTGGGCAGGAGGCAGGAGACATGGTATGAAACGAAAGCTCAGAATTCGAAAAAAAATTATTTTATAAGCAACGATCTTCACAAGATCGGTTGAGAAATGGAATTTCTCAACCGGATCGGTTGAGAAATGGAATTTCTATTCGGAACATACGGCGGAGCCGGGTAAGCCAGCTAGTTAAACTATAAACGAATTTCAATACTTCATTCAATATAATCTGCTACAAAAAACGCATTGTTGACACTTCTTGTCTTCATATTGTTCTACATTGCAATTTCTCAACAAAAAGGAATGAAGGAAAGAAACAATGTAAGTATGTACAGTGACCGCCAAAAAGTTGCGGATAAACCCCTCTTCCTTATTCATCGCTCTTGTTCAGAGGAAAAACAAGGATGAAAAAATGTAATAATTACATGAAGTGATAGAGCTTTTCAAAATCTGCAATTTACACTTGGAGCTGTTTGAGAAACATGTATTCTAAAAATTTTAAGAATCTATTTCTAAAAAAAGTCCGAAAATGGCCGCGTCACGATGTCGCGGACAATAATTCTTCGAACGCAAAAATTTTTTGAGTCCTATTTTAAAGAGGAAACACAAGTTATCCGAACGGGTAAGCATGCTACTATACAGAGCTTTTCAAGAACTACACACTGGTTATGGTTGCTTCCCCAAAGAACGCAAGCTTGCATTTTGTTTTGCTTTTTTCAAGAAACAACTTCTAATTTCCTTTATCAGGCCAAATTTCTTCGCACGGAAACTATTCAAGAGATCCCAACAAAGCCGTTTGGATAAAATAGATGCTCTTCGCCATCCTCTGTGCATCGGACGTATGCGGATGAGTTTCTTTGCTGAAAACGGCCCTTGGCACTGCTTGCACATGACCCCATCTGCACCTCACCACTGATGTTCCGCTTTGCAGGCTTGTAACTCGGCCGCCAGACATTATAAGAGACTGCAAGCAGGCTCATTCGAAAGAGCATGACTTTCTGGACACGAAGATATGCAAATGAGTTGAGTTTGAAAAATTTCAGAGATTTAGCGGATGGGGTGAGAAAGTGCAGCCCGAGAGGTGATTGGAGTGAAGGTCCTTATGAACACCAGAACAGTCTTAGAGCTTCGAAATGGATCTATTACAAGAAAATCGACAGTTTTGAACTTCCAAGATGAAATTGGTAGCGAAAGGAGCTCTCTTCAACTTTAGCTAAAAACTGTTTAGCCTACAACTGAAGCTGCCCTCTTCCACCCCATCCGCCAAATCTCTGGGATTGCTCAAACTGAACTTGTGTGCATATCATCGTGTAGAAGAAGTCTCGTTCTTTCGGATGAGCCCAATTGCAAGCTCAAACATTGACTGCAGGCCGAGTTACAAGCCTGCAAAGCCGGTACAAGCCAGTGATGTGGTGCAGGTGGAGTCATGTGCAAGCACTGCCAAGGGCCATTTTCAGCCAAGAAACTCAACAGCACACGTCCGATGCATAGAGGATGGCAAAGAGCATCTCTTTTATCCCGACGGCTTTGTTGGGATGTCTTGAACAGGTTTCCGTGCGAGGAAATTTGGCTTGATAAAGGAAATTAGAAGTTGTTTCTTGAAAAAAGCAAAACAAAATGCAAGCTTGCGTTTTTTGGGGAAGCAACCATAACCAGTGTGTAGTTCTTGAGAAGCTCTGTACCCTCGACGTCAATCCCTAAGTTACATTTGCAAAGTGGAGTGTTGTGGTGCGGCCGCCTCGCTTTGGGCTCGCGCCACCTTGCGAGCGCATGATTGGCATGGCGTGGCAACAGGAGCAACGAAGAAGCGTTGTTCTTGTTGCCACGTTTGAACATGTTGTGGCGCCACGTTGTTTTCAGCGCCACATCACGTCTAGACGATGCCCCAGCAACGTGGCGCGAGCGCAAAGCAAGGCGGCTGCACCACACCACTCCACTTTGCAAATGTAACTTAGGGATTGACGTCGAGGGTATAGTAGCATACTTACCCGTTCGGATAACTTGTGTTTCCGCTTTAAAATAGGACCCAAAAGAAAATTTTTGCGTTCGAAGAATTATTGTCCGCGACATTGTGACGCGGCCGGCCGGCGAAGTGCCATCGTCACCTCCCCGCGGTGCCGGCTGGCAACGGGGATCAACCCCGGCAAACGAGGGCAATGTCCCGTCAGGCGGAGCGACGCGCCGGGGACTGTACGAATCAGTCGTGTCACATGCATCGGACTATTAAGGATTTTCGTCAAGCTGCTAGGGCGTCCCCCGAAGGCGACGCGCGTCATTGCCCGCATGGCGCGAATAGTGAGCTAGGGCTACCTGCCTCCGGACGAGGCAGGCCAAAGAAGCGAGTCCAGAAAATTCGACTAGCGACGATTAATGTAGGAACGCTGACGAGTCGCAGCCGGGAGCTATGTGATAGGCTGAAGGAGCGACACATCGACATCGCATGTGTACAGGTAACGAAATGGAAAGGAAGGCAGGCTAAGGACATCAGCGACGGATATCGCTTATACTACACGGGAGATAGCATCCGCCAGAACGGAGTCGCGATCATCGTCAGCGGTAGATACCGCGAATTAGTGACCGAAGTGACGAGCATTTCAGATAGATTGATGGCGATGAAGATCGAAGCAGATGATGCCACGCTTCGAATAGTCTCGTGTTATGCCCCGCAATCCGCATGTACCGAAGCCGAGAAGGACGTGTTCTGGAGGGATTTCGACATCCTGTTAAGGACATTTGACGCTGCAGACTACATTTTCGTAGAAGGCGATGTTAATGGACACGTTGGCCACGAACACGATGGATTCAAGAGATACCATGGTGGAAACGGATACGGTCAAAGGAATGAAGATGGAGAACGCATCCTGGAAGCCGCAGAAGCACACGACTTGGCGATAGCGAACACATTTTTCAAGAAGCGGGAGTCACATTTGATCACGTACGCGAGTGGAGACCGCTCAACTCAGATCGACTACTGGATGCTGCGCCGATGCCATTTGCCGATGGTGATGAACGCAAAGGTTATACCCACGGCGACACATGCATTTGCGCCACAACACCGGTTGCTCGTGTTGGATCTTCGACTGAACATCCGCTTACATATACGAGCCAGAAGGACGACCACAAAGAGGATCAAATGGTGGAAGCTTCCCGAACATTGCCAGCAAATCAGAGATGCTTTTAACGATTTGAGCGTGTCGACGGATGATAAGGAGTCGACTGAAGAGCAGTAGAATCGGATTACTTCGCAGATACGATCGAGGGCCAAGGCAATCTTGGGAACCACCAAGCCAGGACGCCGGTTTGTAGACAAGCAGATCTGGTAGTGGTCTGAGTCAGTCCAGCAAGTGATCAAGGAGAAGAAAGAAGCCTTCTAAGCCTGGCAGCGCTCACACTCAAATGAGGACCTCCGTCGATATCGAGAACAGAACTCGAAGGCGAAGCGCGCGGTAGCCGAAGCAAAGGAAGCACACTACAAGAGACTTTACGACAAGTTGGAAGGACCTGCTGGAGCTAACAAGGTCTACCGACTGGCCGCTGCACGACATCGAGAGAAGCAGCATCGACCACGTCATCCACATTAAGGACGCAGGGGGCAACCTCCTGACGAAGCCGAGGGCAATACTCAAGCGGTGGAGTGAATACTACAAAGGGCTATCTAATGAGGAGTTCACGCACCCGTTAGTACCGCAAGGAGCCCCCACATTTGGACCGGTATCTCGGATCGAGGAGGCAGAAGTTGTGCAGGCACTGAGGAAGATGTCTAGCGGAAAAGCTCCGGGACCCGACGACATACCTGCTGAAGTGTGGAAGATGATGGGGCAGCGTGGAGCGGCATATCTCACATCGCTCTTTAACCGCATTATCGTCGACGGACAGTTGCCGCGAATCTGGACTACGAGTGTTACAGTCCCTATCTGGAAGGAAAAGGGCGACGTCAGCGACTGTTCAACATATCGACCGATACGCTTGCTATGCCACACGATGAAGTTCTTCGAACGAGTCATCGACGCACGCATTCGAAGTATAGTGGAGGTCACCCCGAATCAGTGCGGCTTTGTAAAAGGGATCGGGCACCATCAACGCCATCCACGCAGTACGATTGCTAATGGAACGGCATTTGGAGAGACGGATTCCGATTCATTTCGCATTCCTGGATTTAGAAAAGGCATTTGATTAGACACCACACGGGCTGATCTGGTATGCGCTGAGACAACACAACGTCCCAAAGAGTACGTTCTCTGGATCAAACTCCTCTATACGAACACGACGGGCGCCATACGCTGTGCAGTGGGAACGTCAACGCCATTCCCCATCCAAGTCGGAGTACACCAAGGATCGGCTCTATCACCGCTTCTCTTTATACTGTGCATGGACACGGTGACCAAGGGCATT